AATAATCTAACAAGACTAAAGTTTATGATAAAAATTGGGGACAAGTCACACGGTGCAATTTAATGCCTTAACTTATAATAAGATTAGACGTAAAATTTATAAATCCAGTTTAGCTAGCTTTATTACACATTTACATTGGACATTCTATTTCCTTCAACTCGCTCAGCTGATCCTATTCCCGTCCACTCGCTCCTTCGCTGGGTTCGAGATGCTCATTGAACGGGATTGGGTTCGTCAAGGCTACCCCTTTGCTCCAGATCCGTCTGATTGGCAAAAGAATGCCTCTTTGCTTTCCTCCAAGTCCGACTTTGGCATTAGTTCGACAGTTGACTACGACTCTGGAGCCGCATTTGCACTCTTCCTCGATTGTACTCATCAGCTACTCGTCCAATTCCCTACAGAGTTCGCTTTCACTGAGGTAAGCTAACTTTGACTACTTCAGTACTCAGCTTTATATTTGCTCGAACTCTTCTCTTCACTTTTATCTGATAAGAATTATACAAACTCCCTGATCCATCAATTTATAACCTTTTTATTCACGCATTCCAATTATTTTAGCTCTTTATCTTAGGCCATCGAATGCCAAAATGTAAAAAATTAAGATACTTTTACGACCAGACAATTTTAATGGTGGTAATAAAAATAGGATTAAACTTGTGCCAAGAATCCTGTTTATTTTCATTTCAAGATACTATTTTCTTACACTTTTAGTTATTCTAGCCACTATTTTCCTACAAACCCCTTGTATCAGCTAAGTCTGGGCCTCTATGCTTAACTTTGTTCTTTAAGATCGATATTCATATATTTCGAAAATCAACGTATAAACGAAAAATAAGTTTATTCTATTTTTATATGGATCACCTCCTAGCAAAGTTCTCAGTTCTTGAAATTAACCTTGATTTTCTTCGAGGGCATATATGAAAATGTTATTTTTTGTGTTAAGAGAGGCCCATGATTTGAAATATCTGCGTAAAGGAAGTCTTATAGTAGATTACTATCACTGCTCTTAGGGACTCACAATCTACTTA